CTACTGTGCCAGAGAAAATTGGGGCAGCCTAGCTCCCTGGGCCTGAAGGGCGTGGGAGGTGGGCACAGCCAAGACGAGCCTGGTCCCAAGGTGCTGGGGGAGGGAAGCAGCAGCGGGAGGTCAAAGAGGACAGAACTGGTAAGCTCAGGGTGATCCTCCAGGAGAAAAAGGCCTGAACCCCTGCGACTGCAGCCATCACGTTCAAGTGCGTGGACACCACCTCCCGGAAGCTGACCTCTGGCCTGGTGGAGAACCCTTAGTCTAGCCACTCATAATAAACCAAACGCGGGCCAGCTTTTACAACTTGACCAAACACAAGTTATGACTCTTGAGTGACACAGGTGTTTTATAGAGGACCCTAGGACTCTCACATCAACAAAGTGACTCATTAACCAACTGTGTGTCCCTGGGTGAGCCACAGCGCCGGACAGGGACTCTCGGTTTTAGTGGCGGTGAAATGAACCTCCTGGCTTGCTGGTGCCCCGGGCCTAGCAGACCAGAGCGCCAGGCCCAGGAGGTAGAGGAATGTGTCCAAAGGTCACGGGTGAGTTAAAGACAAACTAGCCCCAGGAGCTGGGCTCCTGGGTTCCTAGGGTCAAGCCAGCCCAACTGCTGACGTCCAAGCTCTCCTCCCCGCCCAGGGCACTGGCAGGGACAGCTGCCTCTTCTATCCCTGCCTCTCTGTCCCCTTCAGCCCTGGAGTCCCTGCCCTGTTGCAGGTGGCTGAGCACAGCGCCCCAGCAGATCCCAGCAGGAGAGGTGGGGCTGCCGGGAACTGGTTCTTGTTTAAATATAAACCCATCTGATAATTAGCAAACAGCCTACTTCTAAGATAAACAAATAGGAGATTTGGGCTCCACCCTGGACTCCTAACATGCTACCTTGCAGCTGTGGAGTTAGCTAGGGGTGAGAGGAGAAGGTTTTCCAGGGGCCTTGGGGGTGGAATCCTCAAAACACCATCTGGCACCCAGGTGGCCCGGGACAAGCTGGAGGGGCCTGGTCGCCAAGAAACACCTCCTCCGTCTCAGGCATGACACAGCATGACATGACTCGACACATGACACGGAGGGTGCCTTCATGTGCGGCCTCACCACAAAGCCACAGGCACCTTTCCACCAGACCAGGAAGCTACACTTTGAGAGCTTAACCATGAGGCTGGTAAATAAGAGCCAGGCTTCACACCGCCAAGTCAGGCCTGGGGGAACCTCAAACCACTGTGCCAAAACCAGGGAGCAAGAAGGGGAGGTGGTTCTCAAAAACTTCAAGAGGTCCAATACAATCTGAAGCCTGCTAGGTGCAAGCTCAGTTCAGCTTTGGGCACGGACAGGCAGAGATGCCACCTGCTCTACAACAGGTCTAAAGACGGGATCTGCAGGTCCGGCTGACCTCTGAACAATGTCAAAGTCCACACATGGGCTGTGGTGGTTCAGGGCCTCCCAGTATCTCTTGCACGAGCTCCAAGGCTGAGACGCTGGATCCAGAAGACAAGCCCACTCCAGCATCCCGACCGCGGAGCCATCCTGCTGGCAGGAGGTGGAAGGAAGTGGGTGACTCAGGCAGGCTCTGCTAGTACTCTCGGTGACTCACAAAGCCCTGTCCAGCCCCTTCTCCTAATTTATTTTAAAGATTTTCTTTCTTTCTTTCTTTTTTTTTTTTTTTTGGAAATCACACACACCCACTTGTCCAGTCCAGGAGGCTGGAGGAACAACAAGGGACCGCCAATTCCTCCCAACAGGGAGCCGGGGCTGGGAGCCCAGGCTGGGTCCCCCGGTTTCTCATTCAGGTCGGCTCAGCACTCCAAGTCCTTGAAAAAGACCTCGGTTCCTAGGAGCCAGAGAATGGCAGGAGCTGAATGTCCAGCCCCGTTTCTCTTCAGAGACCGGGACTTGTTTAAACTCCTTACCAGGGAGGCCAAGAAAGCTCCTCTCCCTTCCTCAATGGGCTCTCAGGACAGCAAGAACGGAGCTGGGGAAGAGAGCCAGAGACAAGCCATGTCTGCTTCAAGGTCACACAGCAGGAGAGGAGGGCCTTCAAACGCAGCAACTGTGCCCATCTGCAGAGCTCGCAGAGGATGCACACTGCACACCTTGCACTACCAGACCTGGCTCTGACCTTGCCAAGCCACTGCCAATTCTTGGAGCATCAGCTTCCTGCAAAAAAAAAAAAAAAAAAAAAAGGCCGGGGAAAGGGGGGATGCAGACCTACCTCACAGCATCGCCAGGAGACACCAGTAACACCTGCGCTCATCGTGCCTCGAGAATAAAGTTACACGCATGACTTGCTCATTCATATGAACATTTCCTAGGTACCAACTACAGGTATTTCCCTCATACAGAGCAGAGTTCCTGTCCTGGGGAGTGGGGAGGGAAGTTGGTGGAGTGTACTAATCCCCCCAGGAAGCACAAGTTTCTTCAAGGGAGGGAATACTTTCAATGTTCTTCTGTTTTCCAAAGGCCCTTTGAGCAACTGGCACTTAATTATTAATCAAATGTCAGCACTGGTCAGAAGACATCCAGTTCTACATCCATTTTATAGAGAGGGGATAGCTCAGTGCCTCGGCCCCTTGGAGTCTTCCAGAGCATGGCCCAAATATTTGCCTGGGAATTTGATAACTTTCTGGAGTCCCAAGAAGCCCCGATAGCTCTCAGTGTCCACTCAAGACTTCCGCCACCAGCCCACTTGTGTGCAATCAAGGAGAGAACTCCCAGACAGACCAGAAAAGTTCAAGTGCATCTGGTAGGAAAGGGGCACTTCCCCAGAAACTGCCTGGGCCTGGTGCCAAGTCAGTGGGCCATGTCACTGAGCATGGACACCTTGGGGGGAGCGGTATGGGGGAGTGACTCCCCAAACAAGGCTGTCTTTAACTGGCCAGGGAGGGAGTGGCAGGAAAGGAGATGGGGGGAGGCTCCCAGCTGGACAGGAAGAACTGGTTTAGGGATAGCAACCCCGCCAACCCAGGAGAGGGTGCTGGGTGCTCAGCCTGGGCTCTGCACCCCAAATCTGTGGCACCGTGAGGTGGCAGGGAGGAAACCACCCCAAGAAACAGCAGGTTCACCCTAATACTGGGGAGAGGCCCTGCTAGCATTCCCATGGCCCAGAGGCCCACAACCTGGGTACTTTTTGCTACCCCAAGGCGGTCCCATTTTCCCTCTCTTGGACAATGGGCTAAATTACCATCCCCACTTGCCCCAGATCTGGCACCAGGAGAGCACTCCATCAAGCCTAGCTGCCATTAGCAAAACCCTTCTTCTCAGTCTCACTGTGCTAGACAGCAGGCTCAGTGAGCCGCAGGACGTCCATGACCTCAGGCAGGAAGGGGAGAACTGAAGGACAGGATGAGAGAATGACACCTGTCTCGGCACGCAGCTGCCCAGGCTGGCTTCTCCTTCAGCTGACTAACATACTCCCCCAAACCACATCCCACACACTGCCCCCTGGCACCCAGCTGTCTGCTCCTCACCCCAAGCACCTGCAGGCGCCGCAGCCACTGAGGACAGACTGTGTCCCTACCGGGACTTCGGCAGCTTGGTGGGGACCTCCCAGGCAGAGTCTCTTCAAGGCCTTCCCAACTCGCATCAGCCACTCTCTCTGGGGAGAGCAACTGGAGGGTACCAGTGTAGACACCGGAGAGGCCGAGGCTTGGATGGGCCACTGACAGCGGTGGGGAGAGGGGCGCAAAATGGTCCTGGGTTCGGGAAGTCACCACCACCCCTTAGGCTTCCAATTCCCAGAGCCCCTCTCTGCTAAAAACTCTACCAGCTTCTTAACCAGTATTAGGCGGCAGCACCCTTAGAAGCCTGCAAGATACAGACAGACACTGAGAAGCCGGGCCACCTACCTACATTTGAATCTGACCCAGCCCCTCATTAACTCTGTAACCTTAGGCAAGCTAACTCCCCCGCCTCAGAACCGTTTCAGAAGAGTCAACCCTGGAGTGTTGTTGGAACTCGGCTAGCGGTCGGGCTATTCTGTGTTCGGAACACAGACGGTGTGAACTGCTGGATTATCTGTGTACTGTGTACGGAGGGCTGGGGGCCCTGGCTCAGGGCTTAGCCCGCCACAGGCGGCTTTCCCCCTAAGTAGATCAAGTAGCCTCGGGTCTCTCCAGAGCAATTAACTTAATGATTCAACTCCAAGAACTGCTGCCCCCTAAAGATCCTAGGGGAGGGGTGCAGTTTCTCTTCCTCCCGCCCCCTGGCTGCTGGCTTGCAGCCCCCAGGACACTCGGATTGGGATCCTTCTCACTGTGGGGATCTAGTCCACAGTGAGGACAGGTCTCATCCAGCCTTTTGGGGACCTCCTTCCCTCCAGCCAAGGAAGGTGCTTCAACCGCCCTGGGAGCAGCTAGTCAGAACCCTGCGCATTCCTTGCACAGAGCCCCAGACCAGGCGGGTCAAGTCCCAACTTTCTAAGGAGCCCCAAGGAAGCCAAGAGGTCACCTCCCACCCCACAGCCTCACAGCCTCTGAGTAGATGGGGGAGACTCGGGAACAGGGCCCCGTCTTCTCCCAAGTTGACCGTGGGACTGCGACCCGATCCCAGAGGTTCGCTCAGTTCCCTGCTCCCCAGTACGTGAAACCCCAAACTCGCACAGCCCCAGCACCCCCACTCACCACAGCTCCCTTCCCCCGCACCGGCCGCTAGGGTCACCCGGGATTCTAGAGCTGCCTGCCCAGCGCGCGCAGACGGCGAGGCAGGATCTCCAGGATCCCAAGGCTGCCCAGGAATCACATAGTTTAGTCACATCGGAGCCCGAGGCCGGAGCTAGGCGGCCAGAACCACCAGTTGCGAGTGTGCGCCGCGCGGCGGGGCCAGTTCCAGAGCCTTCCCGGGCCACCGGGCAAAGTTTCCAAACTAAGTCCCCCGCCTCCCCCCCGGCCTCGGCGTCCAGGTGGCGGCGGCGCGGCCCCCTAACACTCCCCAATCCAGAATCCCGGGAACAAAAGCGACCTCCGCGGTCTTTCCCTCCCGGGGACCCCCGTGTCCCCGCCAAACACCTACCGACTCGGCGGCGGCGGCGCCAAGGAGAAACAGCAGGAACGCGCACAGGCGAGCGGGGGCCATGGCACCTCGGCACGGGGAGGGCGCGCAGACAGTGGCGAGTGGCCCGCGGCAGGCGCGCGGCCCAATTTATAGTCGCCCGTTCGGCCCCGCCCCGCCCCGCCCCGGCACCCCGCACCCCGCCCGGAATTCCCCCGCGGAGCCCGGCCTGCGGGGCGCTGTGCCTGCCGCCAGGGCTGGAAAGCCCGAGGGACCCGCCCGTGCGCGCGGGCCGACCTCCCAGCCAAACCCTGGCCCTGGACGCAGCCTCCCCGCCACACACACACACACACACACACACACTTTACGGTTGGGGAGACTGAGGCCCAAGGACAGGAAGGATCTGCCCAGCTTCCCAAGCAAGCAGAGTGTGAACACGTGTGGTGGGAGCACAACCTGTGTTGTTTCAGAGCTTGGCGGTGGGGTGGGGAGAAGGGGCTGACGTTTTCGGCAGCATCTTGGCTCCCAGGCAGCCACCAACACTTGGTGGGTGAGCCCGGCTGTTGGGACCAAACATTAGTTATGCACACTGCAATTTGAATTTCGTATCATCTTCACATGGCACGAGAAGTTATTCCTCGGACTTTGTTTTTCCCCAACCCTCGATATTCTCGACAGGGGGGCCCCTGTACAAAAATCCCTTGACCTCTGCTTTAAGGGTTCCACTATCCAGATTTCAAACGTTCGGGAGGGTTAGGGGACGGATAGGGGGAATCCAGTGTCTAAAACACTGTGTCACATAATGCAATGTAATAAATATATATATATATACATTCTATTGCAAACTTTTTTTAAAAAAGTTCGAAAGAAGTTGTCTGGTCTGTGAGAACTGGACTGCGAGTTACACTCCATTCTCAGGGCAGCGTTCAAATTTTACAGAAGTAATTTGTGTCCCTTGGTCCTCAACCTCTTCATAGTGGGTAGGGAAGAGGAGAAACTGGAAATGCTTAACTCTTTGGGGTGCAAACACAGGTACTCGGGCTGGCAGAATCAGGCAGAGCAGTCCGGATGCTGGGGTGCACAGCCCCAACCTGCCCTGACTTAGCCATGCCGCCCACCCGGGCCGCTACCAGGGTTCCTCACCCAAGGGTTCCACACTCGACAGGAAACGCATGCATTTGGGGGGGAAGAGGGACGGGGGAGGAGATTTTGTTTGAAGTGACATGTACAGGCTTTTACTTGGCGCGACTCCCTGACAATACAGTGTAAGGATTATTTACATGACCTTACTAGGTATTTTAAGTAATCTGGAGATAATTAAGTGTCCTGGATAATGGGCAGCATTCATATGCAAATCTGAGTACTAGAGCCATTCTGTAAATGGGACTTGGAGCACCAGGAATTTTGTCATCCGCAGGATCCTGCAAGCAGGGGCCCGCGGACAGCAAGAATTATGGATCTAAGGGTGAACATTGTGTTTGAACTAGAGTATTTTGGCCTCTGCTGGCATATTATGAATCACATACTTTGTGTGTGTGTGTGTGTGTGTGGTGGCGGGGAGGTTAAATGGCGTGATTTCCCCCGTTCCTTGCTTTGATTATTATCAAAGAATGAAAAAGTCTGTCGGGGCAGACAGCCTTGAAAGCAAAGCAAAGCAAACAGCAACTCAGGGAATGCCAACCAGGTTTTCCCCATGGATTTCAAGGTAAGCAAGTGCTTTCAGCTAGTGCTTCCCTAGCACTGGGGCAGACACCATGAATCTCATGGCAGAATAAGACATCCTTTTGCAAATCAAATGGTTTGTGATGTCTGCTCTCCTTCCACTTGAAGGAGAGCCTAATTATCAGCAGAGAGATCCTTGAAGGTCATTTTGGGGGCTGCAGTTGTGGTGTGTCCCACCTGTTCCGCTTCCAGTCCTGCTTGTGGCCTGGGGAAGCAGAGGAAGATGGACCTGGCATCCACTTGAGGGACTGAGATGGGCACTCCAGGTTCCTGGTGTGGGCTTGACCAACCCAGGCCATTCAGACCTTCTGAGGAATGAACGCACATGGGAGAAACCTCTGTCTCTTTCTAAATAATAAATCAATGAATATGTCAAAATAAGTAATTTTTGATCATAGACGACTGTGGGATTTTAGCCACATGTCATCACATTGCTCTAACAAAAGCTGTTAAGCTATTTGTTAACCAAAGACAGTAAAGCTGCCTCTGTCACCCACATGGGTGATCCAACTGCACTTCCTGAGTTCTGGCTTTGGCCTGGCCCAGCTCTGCCTGCTGCGAGTATTTGGGAAGGTGAGCCAGCAGAAGGATGGTTTCTGACTTTTAAATAAAGTGAAAATAAATTTATTAAAAAATAATAATGTATTGAATTATAAATTATATAACTTAATTCTAAGTAATAATTATCCTTAACAATTGACATTAAAAAATGAATAACTCTCATGAACTACTACAGGCTTCCCACAATTCTTTTATTTTTAATTTATTATTCTTATTGGAAAGGCAGATTTACAGAGAGGAGAGACAGAGAGGAAAGATCTTCCACCTGCTGGTTCACTCCCCAAGTGGCTGCAAATGGCAAGAGCTGAGCTAATCCAAAGCTGGGAGCTCCTTCCAAATCTCCCTCATGGGTGCAGGAACCCAAGGCCTTGGGCCATCTTCTGCTGCTTTTCCATAAGGCCATAAGCAGGGGGCTGGATGGGAAGTAGAGCAGCCACGACTGCCATGTGAGACCCTGGTGCTTGGAGAGGGAAGATAAGCCAATTGAGTTAACACACAGGGCCCGACCTCTTTTTAAGAATTGAAAACAGCAGCATTGTGGCACATCAGGTTAAGCTACCACCTGTGAAGCCAGCATACCATTCCTGTGGACTGCTTTGAGTCCTGCCTGCTCTGCTTCCAATCCAGCTCTATGCTAATATGCCTGGGAAGGCAACAAGATGGCCCCTGCCACCCACATGGGGGACTGGGATAGAATTCCAGGCTTGGCCTGGCCCAGCTTTGGCTGCTCATTAAGGTCATCTGGGGAGTGAATCAGTAAGTGGAATCTCTGTCTTTCTCTGTAACTCTGCCTTTCACATAAGGGAATCTTTTTTTTTTTTTTTTTAAGATGTATTTATTTTAATTGGAAAGTCAGATATACAGAGAGGAGGAGAGACAGAGAGGAAGATCTTCCGTCTGATGATTCACTCCTCAAGTGGCTGCAATGGCCGAAACTGAACCAATCTGAAGTCAGGAACCAGGAGCTTCTTCCAGGTCTCCCACGTGGGCGCAGGGTCCCAAGGCTTTGGGCCGTCCTCGACTGCTTTTGCAGGTCACAAGCAGGGAGCTGGATGGGAAGCGGGACTGCTGGGATTAGAACTGGCATCCATATGGGATCCCAGTGTGTTCAAGGTGAGGAGTTTAGCTGCTAGGCTACTATAGCAGGCCCTCACCCAGGTTTAAGTTAATAAATTAGAGAAGAAAAATTGCCCCATCTACCTCATTAAGATAGGCATCTTCAACCACATTTTACTTTATCTGTTAAATAATTGCTTATCAAAGTTTATAGGATTGGATTTACAAATGCATACTTTTACCAAATTGTATACTTTATGAATAGCTTATTTCTGTCTCCAGCTTTTAAAAGGTAATTGATTTGCATTGTTTACTAATTGTAATGATAGAAAAGCTAATACCTAATCTTCCAGCCATGAAAGTAAAACATTTCAACTTGTGTTTATATTTTTCACAGAAAAGAATAATGGTGTCAGCAATAAGCCTCTTACACATAAAAACATTTTCTACTAGAACATGAAGTAGAAATTTGAGTTCAAGCAGGAAAAGAAATTAGGCAAAACTTCTATCAAAGAAGAGCCTGTTGATGTGTTTTTTAAACAGATTTATTCATTTATTTGGAAGGCAAAGTTACAGAGATAAAGACCATCCATCCACTTTTTCACATCCCAAATGGTCGCAATAGCTGGAATTGGGCCAGATCAAAACCAGGAGACTGGAATTCCATCCAGGTCATCCACAAGGGTGCAGGGGCTCAAGTACTTGCACCATCTTCCATTGCTTTCCCGGGATCATTGCAGGCAGTTGGAATGGAAGTGGAGCAGCTGAGGTTGGAACCAGTGCTCATGTGGGGTGTCAGCATCTCAGGCAGTAGCTTGCCCCATTTTATCACAACTTCTGTCCCTGTTCTAGTATTTTTTTAATAGATGGTTACAAGTATCACATTGCTAGAATGTTTGACAAAATTGCACACATGTAAAAGAATGATGGAACTATTCTATTTTTAAGTGCATAAATGTACAATATGCAGGAAATTACAAACTCTGTAACTATGTAAACTTTTGATGAAAAATGTTAGCTGTCAACTAAAAAAAAAAAGTGCCAAGGAATACAGAGAGTTTCAATAATCATTTAGAAAGTACAGTAGCAAAAAAAAAAAAAAAAAAGGCTGGAAATGGCTACTTTACACAGTGCAAGTTGTCCTGTAAACTGTCCCCAAGTCCTGGAATTCAGGAATTCTCTGAGACTCTCTTTAAAGGCCTGAGGCATAGCTCAGTGTAGCTTGGTGATTTAGGGAATTTCAAAGTGGACCTCCTTGGGGGCAGGAGTTACGCAGATGGTCAGTGTTGTAGGGCCTGGGTCTCCATCTGGGTTAATCTGGAGCAAGAAACTCCCAAATTTACAGACTCACAAAGTCGTCCTGACTACTAGAGTTTTAACAGCAGTTTGACTGAAACCTGAGAGACTCTTGACAAGTTCTGTTAGATTCACCCTTGACTTTTAGAAAACAAGATATAATCGTCAAGGATTTGTAGTAGAACTGGAGTCCCGGTGTCCTGCAGGGGACTGAAATTTTTAAAAATAAAAAGCAGGAAAGAGAGAGAAAAAAAAAAAAAAAAGCTAACCCAAAAAAATCCACACAGTGTCTAGGCCAGAGTCCCAGTTCTTGAAAATCACCTGACTGGGACAGGGATGGGACAGGGCTCGGGTAGCTTGGCTCCAGGTCATGGGTCCCCCCCTATGTGGTGGGGGATGGGTTCCTGAGCCCTGGGGACAGGGGAACCGGTGGGGTGTGGATTGCTTGGCCCAGATCC